TACAACTCTTTATGAATGCTCTCAGTGTGAAATTGTTTGAGAAACAAAATATGCAAGAGACAGCAGCTGTGCTAGCAAGTAAGTCTCCCTATGAAAAGGATCTGCTATGTGCCATGTAATTCCTGCACTGTCAATCATGGGGAATGTGCACAGAGAAGAAACCCTTCCCAATGAGCTTAAAAGTGCTGATGAAAACGGACTTGAAGTAGCACCATATGTCTCTCATTGGGTTATAGCTGCATCTTCACTTAGACTCTGTGGGTGGGAGCCCATAAGAAAGCTGCTTATTCCCTGAGAAGGCCACGTGAGAAGGCAGAAGATAAGCTACTGAATAGAGAGTGATGCTTTGTGAACTCCCTGGAGTGCACAGCCTCCATCCACAAGGAGTCTGAAGATCTGCCCAGTCCGCTGAGCACCAGAGGGTCCTCAGCTCATCCCAGTAGACAAAATAGGCCGTGCTGTTCTGAAAACGGCAACACAGAGGTGTCCACCTCATCCTCCTCTTTATCCTAGTGTTCCCACAGGGCTGAAGGAGACTCCATCCTTTGGCAGCTTACCAGGTGTGCTAACCACCTTCCCGGGTCAATGATGCACATTACTAGAGGAACAGTCGCTCTTCTGAGCAAGCCAGCAGGGCCTTAATGTGTTAGACGTTATATTGATGCTAAATCAGTGATACCACTCACAAACTCATAAGCTTAGGAGCTTTCAAGACAAACACAGTGGGAGGAAGGAGTAAAACACATAAACACAGTCAGCATAAAGATATACATTCACGGGGCTTGCATGCATCACCACGTGGTCATGGTTTCTGTTACACGGAGACTTCCTGATCACAGTGACAGCTAGGAATGGGAATGAAAGCATATTTAACTTCAGTAATTTTCATAGGAACAAATCAGGAGTGCTGTTGTCAGCTTATGCCTTGGAACATCTCAAAGAGAAATCAGTAAGGGTCCCACAGGCCCCTGGCTGACACTAACCCTTTATAAACTTGGCTCCTTTCAGAACTGTGTTACAGCCGCTGTGAATCAAACAAATAAATCAATTAAAAAATCATCTGTCAGCAGCAACGCCATTAGTTTTTTTCCGAAAGTTCTTGCCATTTTGCACAGCTTAATGGAAGTCTCTTATTCTGAGCAAACTGCTCTGCCTGCTGAAAGAAGGAGACATTTCACAATGTACCAAGTCACTTGATTAACTATTCTGCTGTACATCCTTGTGTTTCCACGGCGGCTGTGGGAAAGCCAGGAAGAGGAACACTGCAGTGTCTTGCACTGTTTTTCCAGGAAGGCTTTTTTTCCCTCTTGACATGTCATTTTTCTACAGTACGTGCTTGCACAATTTCTGCCTTTCCCCCCACTTGTCTGTCACTTTGTCTCTAGTTGCCGAGGAGTTGACAAACTAGGGAATTTAGGTCAATGACAGCGACTCACTAATGACAAGCATTGGAATATCTTCCACTTAAGGGGCACGCCAGTTTTCAAGACTGGGACAAATCTCCTGCTGCTGAGTACACCCTGGTTAGCACCTCTCCAGGAACAGCAAAACTAATACACTGGTATTTTTCCAGTCTAGAAGTCAGAGGGAGTCATGGCAAGAATATATCTTATTTTTGGTGTGAAATCCCTTTAGGAGTTGGCCTGCCATCTCAGGCTACCTGTACCCTGGGACAAGGAGACCTTCCCACTCCCCTACAAACCCAATCTGTGCGATCAGCTGTGAGGAGAAAACTCCTCCCTCAGCATGAGACACACTGTGACAGAGACAGGCACCTTCCAACAGCCACTGTATCCTCCTGGCTTCAGTGGTAGGTGAGCAGAGGTATCCACTCCTTCCCCACACTGCCCGTGTGGATGTCGCAGGGGGTGTGCAGGAAGCGCTGCCCCACAGCATTCCCAAACCACCGTGTCCCCATCCCAACATGGCGCCTGGACAGCCCATCCCTCCCACACAGCCCGAGAAGTGCAAGCGCTCAAGTGCCTTTGAAACCTTTCAAGAATCAATAAACAAGCCTGGGGTTTCTCCAGCAGCAGCCCACAGCCCGGGGAAAGCCACAGCTGCAAAAGCCCTTACGTGGAAGTTTACTCAGACCTTAAGTGGACTTGCAATTAGACAACAGCAAACGTCACATTGCTCTTACTGTCACTGCACTTCACATGTCTGCAACTATCACAGCTGGGTCACTGTTCCCCAGCGCTGCGCAGCCCAATGAGCACCAGAGCACTCCAGGGACAGGTAAAGCACTGAGCAAACTTTCAATTAACAGAGGCAGAGCCAGTTTCAGACACAGAGCTGCTCCAGGTCATGGTGTCCAAAAATGTGGCCACAATACCTCCCTCTCTTTCACTATGCAACGTCACTTTCTTACTGGCCAATTTTCAGGCCTGAACACAAATGAAGTTTCCCACCTGCAGTACAAATGGAGGATGATCTGCCCATGCCAGATGGAGGGATCTGCCCGTTTCCCTGGGACATCAGGAGGAACTACAATAGACAGCCGGACATCCCTAGCAGATCTGCTAAGCCAGACAGTCTCCAGAAAGGAAGGGCAGAAGCAGGCCTTTTGTTTATCAAACCTGTAAACATGCTATGTGAGATGTGCAGCACATACTGCACCTGCAGCAAGAACTGCTTTCCTGTTGCTTGTCATTACCTCTCCCCCAGGTACCACAGCCCTCCCCTGTACCAGCAGCACCCAGTGCAGACAGGCTGGGTCCTCTGCCTGCCCAGTGTTTATCTACCCAACCCAGAGGCACCACGTTGGTTTCTGTCGGCCAAGGTCTCCCAGGATGTGACAGAAAAGCACAACTTGTGGAGAGAGCTTCTCATACATTGTCCCTCATTACATAACTCATTTCCAGACCATGTGCATCGTTAAAAGGAAATAGTGAGTTCATGAAAACAAATTAGTGTGCAACCTGACACTGCTTCAGTAGCTGCCTTCTGCTGTCATTAGGGATTTACAAGATACTGCCAACGAGTACACAAAGTTGGGTGTTATTTATATGAATCAGCTTTGAATTACTGGGCATTTGCACACCATCCTGCTGAGAAGTTGACTATAACCTGCCAAAGTCAGTGATCAGCCCTCCACGGGACCTGTGGAGCCCAGCGGAAAAGTATCATTGTAAATCAGCCCAGCCGCTCCCGCTGAGACAAATCCAGCACTGAAACACAAAATCAAGTGCACCTCCTCGGGATGTCTGACATGTTCTGGACCAGATCTTCCTCTTGTTTAGCTTGAGTAGTCCCACTGAGACCAGCTGAGTTACTCTGGTCTTAGACCTGATCTGAGCTTGCTCTGATCCAGGCCTTTTGGCAATACAAACGAGCCTTGCCTGTTCACTGCTGAGCCACCGGCCTGGCTGGGCTCACTGGGGGCCACGGGAGGTAACACAGAATCAGCTTGAGGCATCAGGAAGCTTTCCACAAGAGCATCAGGCATGCTTTTGCCCATCAATGAACTGTTTTCAGCAGCAAATCAGTGGGATCTGGCACTGGGAACAGCCATTAGTACAGAGAACAGAGCAGAGATTACTACAGCTTATGCACACAAAACCAGCAGAACTTAATCAGCAGCGGGATTGTAGCAGCTCCCAAAGGGAGCAAGCTGATTCATCAGCCAAGAGCCCCAAAATACAAAACTGTCTGCAAACACAATGAGCCACAGACTCGTAACTTCATTAACTGTGCTTTTACTCAACTGCTGCTCTATCCTGAGCAGAACTGAGCCTGAATTCTTGGAATGGGACAAAACAAAGACAAAAGAAAAGATACTTATTTCAGTCTGTTGAGTGTTTTACAAACCACAATCTCAGTTCTTCCAAGTTTGATACCTTCACTTAAACATTTCCAGTTTTCCTTCTGTTGTTGAATTTAGCAAGGCTTTCACTACCATGTGTCTACAGAAAGTTAAACATAGTGAACCATATCACTGAAAGTTGGTGGTTCTTTATCAAACTCTTTAAATTAAGGAGCCACTGGGTTGCCCTGCATTTTTCAGGGTGTTGTCAGTGTGAGGCTTCAGTGCTGGGCTCGAATCAATGAATTGTCTCAGAGCTGGAGGATCGGAGAGACCACATGCCGGTTGGAGAACCTCGTGATGGGTGCCCTGCTCTGGAGTAAAGTGGTTCAAAGCCCTCTGGATAAATGGTGTGACAGCTCAGAGCAAAGCGCGCTCTGTGTGGAGCATTCAGACACGGAGTGAACTCCCCTAGTGACACAACAAATCCCATGACTGTCTCATGCCTCTGGAAAATGCCTCAAAGTTCTCCTCTCTGAGAAGACCTTTCCACTCTAGGGGTAATACTACCCTGATGCCTTCTCTCGCCTGAAGCCTCACAACCAGCTCCTCAACAAAGAGAGATTGTAAAACAGATGAGCGAGCTTAATATAAATACCAAATAAAAATATGCTTACCTAAAATATAAGATACCCACATGCAGAAAATTTTATTCAAAAGGGGAATTACCAGAAATTCTCAAGATTTTTGTTTCCATGTGAAAGACACACAGATACTATGCTGATGGGCATTAGTATGTATTTCAACAGTTGGCCCACACAGTTTCGACTCCAAGAAGGAAATAAACTCTCCCTTAGGCTCATGTAAATCATGGGAAACCTCCAGCACCCAAGGAAGCTGTACTGAGGGAAAGCTGAGGCTCGTAACCACATATCAGCAGAAGGCTGCAATCCATGGATGCATTTTAAGCATGCCAGCAGGCAGCTTGCAGCACCAGGGAAGCTCTGCGAGGATCGTGCACAACGGGACGGGTACCAACGCTCTCTCCTGCAAGCAGGGGATTTTCCGACTAGGAACCCCTGTTCCAAGTTTGAAAGCTTTCATGTGAGGGAAAGCAAGCACCACTGAGCAAATGGAAAGTTTCTCTGCAGACCTCTGCTGTGACAGACCTCTGCCCTGCCGCTGCAGCTGTGCCTCAGAGTGGGGATGCTGCCAGCCCTCACCCCACCTTCCCAGGGTGTGGTGCAAGACTCACCACTCGGGGCTTCTGCTGGTCCAGGGTCTGCAGGAAGGCCGGGGTCTGGTCCAGAGTGCGCTCGGGGTCACTGGAAATGTCCTCCTCGGACTCCTCCCAGGATGAGGAGAAGCCAGTGGAAGACGCTGAGGACGATGACAGCTTCCTGACGGGCAGGCTGCCGGGGGGCACGGCGCCCGCCTCCTCCTCCGGGCCCCCCAGGTCCGTGACAATGACGGCGGGGATGCTTCCACCAATGGCTGGGCACTGGCCCTTAAGTTCTGCGGGGGCCACCACCACCTCCCCTTGCCGTGGTGCAGGCCCTGACTGCTCCAGGGGGCTGGTGCTCTCTGCCAGCTCCACAGCTGGCACCACTGTCATTGCTGGCCTCCCGGAGGGCTCTGCAGTGCTCAGACAAACCTGCACCCCACCAGCATCGGGGGCCTCACTCTCCCCATGGGCTCGCAGCCGGGGTCCAATTCCAAGTCCCACCACTGGTACTGTAGGGCTGGCGGGTCGGGGCCGGGATGGCCGGGGGCTCCGCGGCGGCTGGGCAGCAGAGCTGTGTGCCTGGATGTGTGCCTCGAAGAGCCCCACTTTCTGGTTCACCTGGACGTTGTGCAGCTCCCGTTGAAGTTGCCGTGCCATGGGGGGTCCTGGCTGCCCCTCTTCACCCCGGCTGCCCCGCCGCCCCCCGGGGCTGCCTGGCTGCCGCAGGGGATCCTCAAGTGGTGGAAAGAGGAAAGCGGGGCCACAGCGCGGGGAGCGGGGCGGCACGGGGGCCGGGTTGAAGACAGGGAGCGAGCGGCAGCTGCCGGGTGTCTCCGGGCCCCTGGGCAGTACTTGTCCGGGAGGAGGCGGCGTCTTGCTCCGGCCGCTTGTCACCTCGCTGTTGCTATTCATCATCACCAAGCTATTGAGCGCATAGCAGTACACGGCCATAGTAGTCAGCCGGGGTGCACAGGGGGGCCGTCGCCACTGCCGCCTCGGCGCTCAGGCTCCGCGGGGCTGCCGAGGGTCTCTCCCCACCGGGACCAGCAGCATCGCCAGGAAGCAAAAGGGGAGCTGGGCTGGACCTGGCCCACAGCTCCATAAAACAGGACAGCTGAGGAGAAAGTGAAGCAGTGAGAGTAGTTCTGTGCCCTCCCTTAGCTCACCATCCAGCTGTGCACACGCAGCTGGCCAGACTCTTCCCTTCCTGTGTGCCCCTCCCACCTGCACACAGCCCCAGTGTGCCACCTCTGGGGCCTGATCATCAGAAGGATTTGAGTGAAGGGAAAATCAGGTTTGGGCGTTTCCCCTCTTCCCTACTCCCCACTCCAGGTTGCCTGCCCACGCAGCTGCAGCAGCAGTGTCCAAGAGGACACACAGCCAGAAACAGTTCCCTCAACAGAATAAAGGAGTTAAGGTCAACTGATGTCAACTGAAAGTACCTTTCAAGTGTTGGCCCCAAAAGCTGAAGAAAGCTAAAGACTTCAAACAGCTTAAATTTGTCACCTTCCAGTTTGTCACCTATGAGCAAGATCAAGTCTCAGGAATGGATTTCTGTTCAATGATACATGGACAATGACATAATGATACAGTCTTCCTGCTTGCACAATTTTATATGGTATGGGGCCACATCTCCACTACTCCCCTAAGTTACCATGTGCAATAACATGGCTTTGCACATCTTCATGCATTCCTTGGCTGAACGTGCCTCCCCTGTGCATGTCTGCCTTCTGGGGCATCAACCACTGCAGCCACCTCCAAGTCAGAGCCCAGATCCCACAGGCAGAGATGTGCAGTGCTGTTTGTTCTGGTGACTGTGTACGTGTGTGAGAGAGACTCTGCTTTTGTAGGTGGCTCTCTGTGCCCCTGTGTACCTCAGCGTGCCTTCCGTCATGTCTGTTTGCTCCATGTGCCACTGGAGCTGCAGCCCCCATCCCATGCTGGGGCACGGGAACCCATGAGATCTACACAAACTCACTGCCCACATGAGTGCACAGGCTTGTTTACACACAGTGCGCTAACTCTGGCTATGGGAGTAAAAGCCTTTGGAAGCACTTGTGCATGATGCTGTCAGCAGCAGCCCTGTGCGTCCCTCTGTGAGGCTCCTGGCAGGAAAATGCCCCCAGGTCTAAAAGCGCAGTCCCCGTTGACTGTGCGACCAAAAGGTTCCCCATCCCTCCAGGCACTGCTTGGAGGCAGCGTGAGGCTCAGCAGAGCCCAGGGCAGTCACTCTTCGCAGGAATCCCCGGCAACGCAACGCTCCCAGCGCTCTGGCTCGCGTACGAAAGCAAGCACCGGCACAAGGTGCTCGGCCAGAGTTTGGGTGCGGGACAGCCCGCCCGGCCCCGGGGCAGCACCTAGCCCCTCTGCCCGCCCCCAGCTCGCCCCTTCCTGCCCGCGGGGCCCCGCTAGCCGCCGGCGCGGCTGCCGGGGGTCTCCCGGTGGAGGGGCGGCCGCGACCCCCCGGCTCCGCCGCTTACCTGGGAGCGGGATCCGCGCTCAGTGCGCGCCGCCCGGCAGCGCCCGCCGGCGGCCGCGGGGCGCTGCCGAAACCATCGCCGCGGGCGCGGAGCGCGGCTGCCGGGGGGTCCCGCTCCCTCCGCGGCTCCGGGCGGCTCTCCTCGCCCCGCGGGGGCCGGGGGCGCCGGGCTCTGCCCCTCCGCGCTTCCGCGGCCAAGGCTGCGCGGCAGCTCCGCGCTCCGGCCAGGTCCGCGCCGCGGCCCCGGCGCCCGCTCCCGGTGCGGCTGGAAAGGCGGAGAGAGGAGAAGGAGAGGGAGAGGAGCGGCGAGGAGGAGGAGAGCGGGGGGGGGGGGGGAGGAGGGAAGGAAGTGGGGGGCGGGTTGGGGTTGGATTGAACCGGGAAGAGAAAGTTTCTTTTTTTTTTTTTTTTTTTGCTCGCTCGGCTGGAGGGAAATACTGAAAAAAAAAAAGTTTCCATTGTTAACTAAGAAAAAAAAAAAAACCCACCGCCGCCGCGCTTTGGCCGCTGTGGGTTAAAGATACACGAAGCATTTTCCACCCCCGCCCGCGGCGGGCGGGGCAGGTCCCGCGGCGGGGCCCGGCAGAGTCCCCGGTCAGCCTCGGCACCGCCCGCGGGGGGACATCCCCCGCCTCCCCGCCGCATCCCGGCCTCCCATCGCAGCTGGCCGTCGTATTCCTCCCTTGGGCACAGCGGTCAAGGCAAAGGGTGGTGCCGGCCGCACCAGGAACGCAGAGCTAGAGGCCACCCACCTCCCCATGCACACGGCTCGAAGGCACCGACTAGTCCATCCATTTCCCACCGCATCTCCCTTTCCCCAGGCACCACGGCTCAGTCCTGCTGCTTCTCAGCACGTTGGTCATTCACACGAGCCCAAGATTGGCTCGATGACTTCCCTGCTAGGTTGTGTGGCCTTGGGTGAGCACGTCCCGTGGAGGGAAGATGACCTCCGCATCCCCAGAGGACAAACACGAGTGTGGCTGGTACATCCACCTGCTGTGGTCCTGCCCTAGGTTTAGGCAGGGCTGTGACTAACTCGTTCTGGACACTGCCCATTTTGACTCAAGTAGGGCCCCAGAGAGCACTCTCCTGCAGCCCCCAGGCTTGGGTCCTGCTTGGCAGGAGGAGCAGGCTCTTGGCTGTGATACAGCATGATTTCTGTATCAAGATAACTCATTGGAAATAGTTGTCTGTACGTCAGCACTTCAGCAGAGCAGGATCTGCAGTTCACTCTCAAAGTAGTGGTCAAGGTCAAACCCAGATAGCAGTTCTGGGGTTGGTCTGGATTGGCCAAAGGAAAAAAAAAAAAGAAAAAGAAAAATGAACAACAATTTGCCTTGGCTAGGATTTCACAGCTAGGACTTTCCCCTAGAGAGGGAAATTGATGTCACAGCGGATCAGCTTTTTGTAATTAAAGCATAACCTCTAGAGCATAAATGGGGGCAGAGAGGTCTCTGAATTGGCAGAAGGTGTGGATTGCCAATCCCACAGGCAGACAGAGAGAGACACCCAAAATGAGCTTATGTTTGTTTTTCCAGTAAGAGAAACACTATTTTGAATTCAGTGCAGGAAAAGAAATTTTTAGACTCTTTCCACTCCAATCTGTTTCCTTAGAGTCTGTGCTTGGTCAGGAACTGGTCTTTCATGAAATAATGTGATCAAACTCTCTCAGAAAAGTGACCCTGCTGAGTATAACAGCACTATTCATAGGCACAAGCTTCCCCTGTGTGCAAATATCTGCAGATTCTGCTCAGCTGTTGCTCACATTCCCTTGTGTCTGCATACACATGTCAAAAAGTAGGAACTCTTGCAGTAAAGAATAAATCCAGGAATACATGCAGATAAACAGGTATGTTCTTTTTTTAAAACAGCTATACTTATGCTATGCTGATAGCATCTGCATGCACTTGCAAGCACTACTGCACATCTGTATGTGGATGTTTTGGCCATTCTTTGGGTTTTTTTAAGAATATTTACACCACTGTAATCACAACGGGTACTTAAAGGTGTTTCTTGAAGTCCCACAAATTCAAGCTCCGTCAGATATTCATCCTATCAGAACAGGACAACGGAGTGGTGAATGCACTGTGGGCAGGTTTACAGATACAAAACTCCCTGAGGGAGATCTGGCCTTAAAACATGGCAGCATTTTTGTCATATAACAGAGCTAGAGCTGTTCTGTGGGTACTGTATAAAAAGACAAGCTTTTCTTTATAATTGAAGTGGCTAATAAAAATGCAAAGAGGAAAAGAAAGTCTAGGGATAAGTCTTTGACTATTCAGAAGGAGTAGGTACAGGAGGGAAATAATTGTTTCCAGACTGGAGCCAGGCAGCATTCCACATTGTACAGTGAAGAAAGAACAGACAGCTTTCAGCACACTTGTTTCCAATCAAGTGGAAACCAAGTGTCTGAGGTCAGCCTAAATGGAAAACACAAACTGAAACAGGTTCCTAGTCCAATCCAGAGACAAGGATGGAGGCAAGAAAGGAGAAAGGTTTCTTTCACAGATGCAGACAGTGTCTCTGGGCACTAGTACTGCTGTAGTTACTTGATGCTGCCGAGAAGCCTTCTCTGTGGCTTTGGCACAGTTGCGTTAGGTGCTGTACAAAGAGAAGAAACCCAAAAAGATCACCCTACTCTGACTTGCAATCTCAGTGAACATTCTTCAAGTAAAAGTCCAAGGTCTTAAAAGATCTTGCCTCTGCTTAAGCTGTGTTCTTCATTTGAATTTATACTTCCTGCTTCCAAAGAAAATCATTACAGTGCTTGAGAATACTGAAAACAGGCTGGGTTAGGGCAAGCAGTTGATCCAGCCAACTTTTGTGTAGGCAACTTGTTCTTATTCAAGAGAGTGGAGCCATTAAAATGAACAGGATCTTTCACCAAGGAAGGGCATATATGCATGGCAGAATGTATTTAGTCTGAAATAAAGCGAGGACTGTCCTTTGCTATTTTACACACCCTCTTCCTCTGCAGTTGAGGTCCTGGTCCACAGGTACTGAACTGAAGAAGAACCCCTTCCCCAGTCCAAACTACAGTAACAGGCAAAGGAACCAAACCTAAAACACCTTACTGAAACAAGATCCTGTACTGCAGAAATACTTCCTTCCATGGAGGGGGGAGAACAGTCACGGTACATACTGGTCATTGCAATCACTTAAATCCTTGAAGACACACAATTAATACGATGTGGGCTGCATTATAAAGCTAGAACAGGACAGAACAGACCACAATCTACTTAGCATCCATCCAACTGTAAAAACAAAACAGAAAAAATCATAACTATTTAATCACAAAACAACTACAATCCTCAAGTACTCTCCTCCTTCGATTGTCCCTTTATTATAAGAACCATTTTTTAAATTATTACTCTCTGTCATGTTTTGGACTGGTTGAACAAGACAGCCTTCACTGTGTTTCAAAGCTGAGTTGTCCAAACTGTCACTGTTCATCCCGTTCAGAATCAGAAGGACCGTCAGCATCCTTATAGGGGAAGTCAGTATTTGACAGCATTTCCTCACCAGCAAGTTGAATCTTAAAATCTTGTAAAATATAGAAATAAATGTATAAATACAGAGTAATTCTACAGTCAACAGACTTACTTTGTGTTTATGCCAGTATGACAGAAAACAAATCCAGCTAATATTTTAAAAGAAAAAGAGCCACAGAAGACACAAGTGAAAACACAACACTGAACTATGTGCTGAAAATTGTCTATGTTCATGCAGGTGGCTGTCACAGGCATGACACAATTCTACCTTGTCTAGGCTGGCAGGGGAAATGGAGGCCTGAGAAAAGGGCTCTGGATGTTTATCTTGCACCAGCCCTTTTGCCTTCCTTCAGTGGTAAGAGATCAGAAAAAAGCTGGTTTTCCCAGCTCTTGGCAGCCTCTAAGCTGGGTTATCTGGTCATTTGCTCCCTTCCCCCTATCCCACAGGAACATGCATAATGGCAGAACTAAGCAGAGACTGGTCCTTGTGCCAGCTCCTGTTCAGGGAGCAAGAACACAGACAAAGGTGCAAAGACACCTGTAGCAAGTCAGTGTAATTTAGGGCAGCCTGTGTACTGCACCCACGTCTGCCTGAGCTTGTACGTCCACCTAGAGCACAAAGAAACCAGTTTTGTTCTCTGGGAGCCTCCTCCACGCATTCCTGCCTGCACCTCGCCCTGTGCTGCACCGAGACACACGTTGTGGCGCAGCCAAGAAAGTCAGCCAAAGATCCTGGTGATCTGTTCCTGGCTCTGCCCCTGCTGCACCGTGGGGCGTCAGCAATGTGGTTGTTGCCTCTTCGCCTTGTTTCGCCCACCTGTGAAACAGGCAGTGTGGACTAAGACATCCCGTGTCTCCAAGGGTATTTGGGGCTGTGACCTGCCTACAGTAGCGTATACACTTGGGGTCCTTGGAGGAAGTGGTGCATACATCCTAGACATCTGTGCACAGCACGCATATGTGGAGCTTTAGCGCTGAGCTAAGAACATCAGTGTAGCTCACAGGTTTCAGTATTTGCAGCAGGACTTTGGAGAAATGTTACAGAGCTCAGGAGATAAGGATGTATGGATGGAAAATATTATGCATAGTGAATTACTCTAATAAGGAATTACACACATGATATGCAAGAGTGTTTAGGAACCCTAGAACAAGCACAGGATGTTACATTTCCTCTTGATGCAATACGTATGTGGCAGTGGTACCTTTATTTTTCCCTCAGCTAGTAAACTGCCCAGGATGAAGATGTGAAGGTCTGATGTGAATGCCTGGTTTTATGTCTGGATATGGGCAGCAGTTTCAGTGACACCCTTCCTGTTTTTTCCTGATGCCAGAGAAGAGCCCAGCTCTGCAGTTGATGTGTGCCACAGCTGTGGTCCCCTATGCTGCAGCAGGGCTTTGGCCCACGGTTGCTATTTGCAGATAATAAGAATATAAACATATGTGCATATTTGGGGAGTAACCCATGATTCAGCATGAATGTTTCCTTCTTTTCCACAGACCGAACTACAGGCAGTAGGAGCACATCAAACATATATTGTCGACTATATACAGAGGTTCAGTAAAACTAAAAGTAGAAAGGGAAATCCTTCCCCATCAGAGCCCGAGGATACTGAAAGTTATACCCAGCTCTATGTTTGAGGGGATAAAACAATTGGAATTGAAATACTGCTTCATTGCCTGAAGAGGTTTTTCCTATTCATGGGTCACAGTTACTCTACTAGACTGTGACCACACAG